TTTAACAATTACAAGTTCTAAAGTAATCATAGTATAAACTCTGTACAATTACTTTAGAACTTGTAATTGTTAAATGATTCTCTTACTATATTGATTTTTTTTTTTCAATGCGATCGGAATTTAAAAAATTTTCATAAATATAACACCAAATCGAACACTTTTTTTTCAACTTTCTCTTTTCCAAGTTTTCTTTCTCCAAACTTCGCTAGATTGTTTTTTAAAAAAATTAATTTTAACCATAGCTAGAACAAAAAGGATCAGACAAACAACCCAACCTTCTTAATTGGCAGCTTCTGCCACTCCTTTGACTCAACCATCTACAACTCCTTCGACCCAACCATCCACAACTACTTCTACAACTTCTTTGACTTAACTACCCACAACAACTTCTTTGACCCAACCATCTACTACACCTTTGACTAGTGATATGGGTTGACTCAGGCCCATTGGCTGGGTGGGCGGGCAGGCTGACCCTCAAGCCGCAACTTCATGGCTGAGCCGATTAAAGTAAAAATAATTTTTTAGTAAAAAATATTTTCTCGCATAGATTCGCATATATATGTTGCATAAACTTTATTACAATTTATCATAATTTTTATAATAAATTTATTGGTATTTATAATATAGAACAAGTGCTTATTTATGATTCTTTGCTTTTGCTTTTTTTGTGCTTCTTAAATTAGCAAACTATTTCAATTAGATCTTGCGCAATTCACTAACCATGCCTATTTCGTGTGCACACATTGGTCTCATAAGCTGATGCCAATTTGGTTCAAAACTATTAACTAAAAAAGTAAAATAATAAGATTCATAGTCGTTCATAAATCCTGAATATGACTAATCCAAAAAGTAAGGTAATGAGATCTATAGTTGTGCATAAATTCTGAACAAAAGAAAAAATCATAACACCAAAATTAGTGAAGAGCTGTGCAAAGAAATTTAAAATCTATATAACCTTCAAATTCATGCGAAAAAGAATGAAAAAGAACTATTAGTATGAATAAATCAGAAGAAATCATCAAAATTAGGAAAAGTAGATCAATTCAAAGCCCACGTCAGAATTATTGAGATTCTTTACTTCTTGAAATCTGTAAAAATAGAAGATTTATAAAAGCATATAAATTAAATTAATTGAATACTGATTCTGAGTCAAATAATTTTATAAATTCCAACCTATTTTATCTATAAAAGTTTCAAGTTAATTCTTTAAAGTTTGATTTATTAAATTTACTTTGCCCAAAAATTGTAATCTCAGTAAAGTTAATTTTTTGCTGGTTTCACGATATCTCTCCTGACTTGGAGACATATTATATATCTTTTGCCCTTAACAATTGTTGTCAAGAAAAGCTTTTCAAAAAATTCGTTTCATAAAAAACTAAAATCCTTGCTTTTGTTAATAAATGCCTGAATTTTCAAAAATAAAAAACAAATTCTTCTTGATCTTTGCTTAAGATTAATAGAATTAATAAACAGATTCCCTCTTAAAAATTACAAAAAAAAAAAAAAAAAAAATGTTTATAAAAAAGCATAACACACGTTCTCAAAAACAAAAAAAAGATAAAGATCATGATACTCCTAGTTTTTCAGAACCTTCAGACATAAATGATACTGAATCATCAGAAAATCGACCTAAAAAAATGCTTAAAATTAGACAATCAGCACAAGTGTCTATCATCGAAAGTGAAGGTAAAATTGATGAAATATCAAGCCAAGAATTCTATAATTAAGATTCACCATCCTTCAAATCATTTCAATCAGTTCTCAAATCTGAAAAACAGCTTGAAGCCTCAAATAAACTTTTCCGAAGTAAAAATAATAGAAATGAACAGCAGCTTTTTCCTGATCAATCATTAAAAGTTCCAGACGTAGAGATATTAACAAATAATGTTAAATCTAATCCACTACCATCGAATGTTAGTTGGGTTTGGGGGTACATGAAAAAAGATAAATTAAAAAAGGAGGTAACATGTAACGTATTTATGTTATTAGATGGAAATAAAAAAAATGTAATAAAGTTTTTAGTATTACGACCTCAACTACACATCTTGGCGAACACCTTAATGCAGTCTATCGAATTTTTCCTCAAAAACAATATGAAAAGGATCTGCAAGGACAAACAATCGTAGAATCAGATAAATCAAATCAAACAATACCCTTAATTTTTTCAAAAATAGCTCCCCATAAACCTAAAAAACAAAAAAAATTATTGCTCCATTTGGTGGTGTGATTGTTGAAGATTGTCAACCTTTAAGTGTTGTAAAAGGACAAAAATTTCGTCAATTTTGTCATAAAATAGACCTCTGCTTCAAAGTTCCTGGTTCAGCACTAATTAGAACCACAATTAGAGAATCTTTACCTTTTGCTAAAAATCAACTACACAAGTTATTATTAGATACTATGGAACCATTTTCTTTTACGATGGATTTGTGGACAAGCATGCACCGCCCTTATATTGGTATAACTATACATTGGCTTTCGAAGTCCTTTGAATTGCACCAGGCAGTCCTTACTATCGAAGAATTTCCATATTCACACTCGGGAAAACGTCTAGAACAATTTTTGTCCAAACTTTTTAATCATTTGAGTATATATGATAGGTTGATTGGAGGAACCACTGATAATGATAAATCAATTATAAAAGGGATTTGTCTTCTTGATACACCTCATATTCGATGCACCGCCCATACAATCCAGTTAGCCATTAAAGATGGTCTTAATGCTTGTGATAACCTGTTAACTAAGACAAAAAATTAAATAACTGGCTTGTAAAAAAGGATCAATATTGACAAAGTCTTCGTAATATTCAAAACGAATTTAATCAATCATCTACATATGACTTAGAAGACTTAGAATGGCCATTGTTAGATAATGATGATGATTCCGAATCAGAATCTGACAATATATTTGAATCACCAACACAAGCTGAACAAGTAAAAAAAAAAACAAAAGCCATCTATCGTTGAGCCTATTAGTGATGTGAAAACCAGGTGGAATTCCACCTATTTTGTTCTAAAAAGGCTAGTTCAATTACGAGATGCCGTAGAACAACTCGCGAAGTCTTTAAGTCGCCATCCTGACCAACAACAAAGAAAAGATGGTCAACATTTGAGTAATAAATTATTATCAGAATTTGAGTGGAATGAGTTAGATGAATTAATTTTGCTTTTGTTACCCTTTGCCAATCAACAAAATTAATTGGAGGCGCACAATACCCCACTCTTGGTATGATGCTTTCCACTATTTGACTACTATCCTTACACTTGTGCTGTATAAAAAGATCTCTTAAATCACCTAAAATCCTAAACGTTTGTCAATTAATTGAAAATTCCATCTCTGCTCGTTGGGAGTCACCATTAACGGAAGCCTATATAGCTTCTTATTTAGATCCCCGGTTCAAAAATTTGTCTTTTACTAACAATGAAAAAAAAAAAGAAGTCTTAGATTTATTATGTGAAATTATAAAAACAAATAATACTGCTATTAACGCTCCAGCAAGAACTGAAATGGATAGGTTTTTCGATAGTAAAATTCCTGATTATGTTGTAGATGATGAGTTAGAACGATATAAAAAAGTGACTCAAATGAACAAGTACTTTATTAAAGATCCTCTTTACAAAAATCATAATCCCCTTACAAGGTGGTGCACAAATCAGAAAGATTATCCAAACCTGGCGATACTAGCATGTAAATTTCTCTCATTTCCAGCCACTTCTGTACCTTCTGAATGATTATTCTCTGAGGCTGGAAATATTCTTACCAGAAAACGAAATCGTTTAGCCCAAACTTAGTTCACGATATATTATTTTTAAAGGCCAATTCTACACTTTTTAATGTTTATCCTAGACTTAAATAGAAATTTTATTAAAATTGATACTGTAGTGTCGAAAATACATTATAACTTAGAATAAACAATTATTGAAAAATTATATAATTTTGGCAATTTTTTGGTTGATTTCGAATAATAATTTCTGTATTTAAATACTCTTCACTTCAGTAAAGCTATAAAATAACTATTTGGTTGATTCTGGTAGAAAAGAATAGAATAAACTAAGTATAAAAGCAAAAATTCAAAGTGAAACCTTATTATCTTTTTGTATTACGATATGATGCAATCTACACATGCTTAAATTCTGCGATTTTATTGGCTGAAACTTTATTCAGTAGGATATTCGGCCCAGTCGGCCAGGCCGAACTATTTTAGCTTTAGCCCCAGCCCAAGGTTTTATTATGGCCCATATCACTACCTTTGACCAACCTTCTATTACTTTACCATCTATTACTTTTTTGACTCAATCATTTATCACTCCTTCAACCCAACCATCTATCACTTCGACCCAACCATCTACTACTTTGATCTAACAATTCACCACTTCGACCACCCCTTCAACTAGACAAACTACTACTTCGATCAGACAATTCACCACTTCGACCACTCCATCGACCAGACAATCCATCACTTCAATCAGACAATCCACTACTTCGATCAGACAATCTACCACTTCAACCACCCCTTCAGCCAGATAAACCACCCTTCAACCAGACAATCAAGTACTTTGACCACCCCTTTGACCCAACCATCTATTACTTCAACAACTCCTTTGACCCAACTATCCACTACTCTGATCCAGCCTACAGTAGTTATTTCTCCACAAAGAACCACCTCTCCTTATTCGTCTTATTCACCTCGTTCACCACTAAGAACCATAAGAAGCAGAAGCCGAAGTAGAAGCGGTGAACGATTGGAAACTCTTGTTAATTTTGATTTAGCAGAAAACAATCGAAGACTGGAGAATAGTAAATTTTTTCAAGTGATTGAATACATTGAGAAATTTTTTAAATAGATGTCAATCAATATATAGCAATTAATCGATTTGTATCGATTTAAAAACTTCAATAAATATTGTTAATAATGAAATATATCGATTTTCAATATATATCGATTTATAATATTAATCGATATATACCTAAAAAACAAATAATATTAAATTTAATAAATCGATTAATATCGATAAATCATTATAAATCACTATGCTATATAACGATTTATAACGATTTATCGATATTAATCGATTTATTAAATTCAATATTATTCATTTTTTAGGTATATATCGATTAATATCTAAAATCGATATATATTAAAAATCAATATATTTTGATTATTAACAATATATAGTATACTATGCTATATTGATAAACATCATTAATAATCAAAATATATTGATTTTCAATATATATCGATTTATGATATTAATCGATATATATCTAAA